AAAAAAAAACTGACATTAGGTTTGAGAACCAGATAGATAAGTGAGTCCCAGCCACTCTTCACAGAATTTCTTACCAGCAGTTTGCTGTGATGGCCCGTGGCTCCTATTTCAGTGGTGTCATGAATCCATTCTGGGGCTTAGTCCCAATTTTAAATATACTGAATCTATGGAGTCTATCACACGGGGGAAATCCCATGCGAAAATGGGGCTTTACATTGGAAAAAAACCCGCAAAGGTGGTTAGATTTTCAGATGACATCGTCGTTAGAATAGGGTTAACCCGAACGGAAAGCAGTGAGAAACTGTTTCTTTTTACTTTTGGAAAATCCAAAAAGTAAAAAGAAGTAGTTTCTGACTACTTTCCATTCAGGTTAACCCCATTTTAACAGTGATGTGTGTGAAAATCTAACTGCTTTTGCGGGTTTCCCTCACCTTTTAAATCCCATTTCTGCACGGGATTTCCCCCGTGTGATAAACTCCTATGTTAGGGATAGTGTTCCCTAGCCATGGATAGCTCTTTCAAGGGTCAGGCTAAAACCCAAAGTAGAATCATCACCTGCCTGACATGGAAGCCACTAGCTGCCACTGGTAAGTGGTGATTCCTTCCTTCTAGATTTTGCAATAGAGGATGCATTATATATCAATATTGCCCTGTTTGCTCCCCACATATAAATCTCTCATCCCATTCTTTAAATGTCATCTGCACCTGGCACTCAAGTTCTGCAGGAATTAGGGGCACATAGACACATCCCTGCAAAAGTGGGAAAACTGTGCATATAGGCCCATTATATTTTTACCTAAGATAACACATTTCTAGGCATCTGTAGGTTCTCCAGTGCAACTCTGTGGTCAACCTCTAACCACAGAATCACACTGGAAGACCTACAAGTGCCTAGAGAAATGTTCTTTCTAGGCATCTGTAAGTCCTTCAGCATGGTTCTGTGATCAACATATGTCAAAAGATGGCCATATAATTGTGCTGGAGGACCTACGGATGCCTAGAGAGAGCTTTTTTGGTAGCAAGAGCAAATACAGTAATCTGCAAATAATCAAATCCATGAATGCTTAATCCACATATGTAGAAATATATATGTCCTTTCTGAATCTGATTGACAAATGACTGTCATTCACACATGCCTTTTCTACTTTTTTCAGTCCTCTCGTGCAGTCCTGGCTGATGAGCTTCTCATTCTTGTCTCACAATAAGAAAGCTGGCAGAATCAGGAATCAATACTTGTATTTTCTTCCTCGGGTTTCACTTGTCTATTCATGTGACTAATGATGATTTCTTGACC